TGTGTATGTTTGTGTGGTGACCCAGTGAGACTGCTGAAATACTATCGGTCGTTCCTCGTGATAAAGATTCGTCTTTTCATCTGCCAATATCATTCTCTCTCTCTCTCTCTTTCTCTTTCTCTCTCTCTCTCTCTCTCTCTCTCTGTCTCTCTCTCCCTTTCTCTCTCTCGTTTTCTTTCTTTCTTTCGACTGACACAATGAGTCCTTCGATTTATTCGCGAGTATACCATTGCTGGGTATCCATCTATGGGAGATAATACTTATTTCTGATAAAAAAAAAAAAAAAAAAAAAAAACGAACAAACAAACAAACAAACTAATACTCCAAATAGATTCGTAATTAGGCCTATCTATTTTTTTTTTTTTTTTTTTTTTTTTGATATCCGATTTAATATGGTATTAAATATATAAAATAATAATTTTTGAAAATGTATTATTTTATAAATCATGTTTCGCTATACTTTTATTTAACTTAGTTTTTTCTTTTTCCTTTTTTTCCTTTTTTTCCTTTTTTGCATGAAAATTAAATAAAAATATAAATTATCGCGTTCGCCTTCATTAATACATTTTGTTGGATCATATGGATCATGTTTTACAAAAGCTAATCAAACGTATCTTTCCCCATCTTTCAATTTTTGAGAATAATGAATAACTTACTTAGATCATGGATATATCGCCATAATAATGATAATAATAAAAATAATAATAATAATAATAATAATAATAATAATAATAATAATAATAATAATAATAAAAATATCAAACTCGTACGTTTATTCGTACTCGCGAATATTTCGAATTCGGATAAATCCGATATTTCCAATTCGTGTATCCGTTCGGCCGCATGACCAGTAAACAAGTCATCCATGTAATCAGCAGGAACTCGTGTGCGTGAACACACGAGCTGTTCGATCTGTCTCTCTTTCTCTTTCTCTTTGATGCACCACCGAGTCATCCAGGGTAGATTCGCTCGCTGCGGGCGAGAGACCTGTCGATCCGTCGCGCATCGGTGAACGCGAGAGAGAGAGAGAGAGAGAGAGAGAGAGAGAGAGAGAGAGAGAGAGAGAGAGAGAGAGAGAGAGAGAGAGAGAGAGAGAGAGAGAGAGAAAGTGAGAGAGAGAGAGAGCGACATATTTGCAATAGAATGGAAAACGCCAATGTATTATTGGACTCCATTCTATCATTCTTTTTTTATAAATATATATATATACACACACAAACATACATATATATATGTATATATATATAGCAAGTCGAACGAAAATTAATTTTCAATTTAAAACGCGACAAATATTAATTCTTGCAAATCCAAATGTATATACTTTATCGTTGATATATATATTTTTGTAATAATTGTTTGACAAAAGAAAATATGATTTCGATCTAATGACAATTTTTATATCAATAATAAATGAGTATAAATAAGGAAGATCAATGAATCCTGATTATTATAAAAAACGAAAGCATATATATATATATATATATATATATGTATATATAGTAGGTGTCGCGTTAAGTAAAAAAGAAAAAGAAAAAAGAAAGAATAATAAAAATTTTACCGACAAGGAAGATATTCTATCATTGTTTTTTTTCTTTTTTTTTTTTTTTGAGATTCTCCTTGAGACTTTTTTTTTTTACTAACAACATAATGGGTGCGACGAGAAGAGAGATCTTTTTTCGAATTAGGCGCTTCGATATGGATAATACCGGTAATACCGCAGTGCGGAGGCCGCCACTAAGCCCTGCAATTTCGGTCCACGAACATATATACATACGTACATAGATACATACATATATATATATATATATACATATATATCTAAAGGTTCTATCTCGAAAGCAACTTGTGGGGCCTCATTTCAAGAGGTACCAACGCTTTCGATTAATAATAACGATCAACTACTATCAATGTTAACGATCTCAGATATTGTTAGGTGTCCCCGGCTCGTTTCAACGGCGTTTAAGTCTCCACTATTTTGTTCCTATACCTTAATATACACACATATATATATATATATGTATATGTATGTACATATGTTAGTACGTACATACGATCGACTGCAGTGACCTGCACCGCATTACAAACATGCGCACGTATCGGTCGCCGCAGAGCATATAGATCGAATTGCGGCTCGTATTACCCTGTCTCTGTCTACAAACAGTGTTTGTGGTTGTATGTGTATGCGTATGTATATATACATATAAATATATATATATATATGTGTGTATGCACATATAAATATGTATACGTTGATAAATAAAAAAAATTCAAGACGAAGATCGAGAAAATCGAATAAATGATCGAGATGAAAAGAAGTTCAATGATATCGAACGTTAATTCTGTGAATTTTTCTTATAAACTTTTTTCTTTCTTTCTTTCTTTCTTACGTCAATTAATAGCGAATAATAATAATAATAATAATAATAATAATAATAATAATAATAATAATAATAATAACAATAATGAAGAACGTTAATGTAGTTTGAATATTTAACATTAAACTATAATGGACGTTTGGTATTATCTTAAATAGCTGAATTCGCGTTAATCTGACAGTTTATTCGGATTATATGACTGTGCCGGTAGATAACGTTTTAGAAATTGCCAGGATTTTGATCTCCCTCTCTAACCATCTATAATGTCTTCGTCATGATGACCCAGATAATATAGCGATAATAAAAGAATTAACGTTCGTCATAATGGATTATTTCGATCGAATAGGATATTTTTGATTTTACAATGAAATATTTATTACTTATTTTAAGATTTGTAAGATATGAAATGAGAGATGGAAGATAGGATGTGAGAATATGAAAAAAAAAAAAAAAGAAAAAAAAAATAAGTCTATTGTATGTTTTATAAAGAGCAAATAAAAGAAAAAAAATATTCTCAATTAAGACGTTGACAGGGGGAGGGGGGAGGGGAACGATTAAAAAGAAAGTAAACTGATCAAATATTAATGAAATGTCATAAAGATGATCTATGTTTTATTACTTCGACTACGATTACACGATTGGAACGAATAAAATTGCAAATTGTAATATTAACGTCACGATAATAATTGAAGTAAAAGCGTACGTACGTTCGTTTCATTATTTTCGAATGGATTGAAAAAAAATAAAAAAAAAATGAAAAAATAAAAAGAAAACAAAAAACGAATGAAAGGAATGATCTTAGGAAAGAATAAAAAAAAAATAATAAAAAAAAAAAAAAAAAGAAAAAAAAAAGAAAATAAAAAAGAAAGAAAAGAAGGACGAAGAGAAGAGAAAGAAAAAATAAATAATAAAAAAAAAAGCAAAAATAAATAAATAAATAAATGACTAAATAAATAAATAAATAAAAGGGAAGCAAAGAAAGGAATAAAAATGTGACGAAAAGAGATTTAATAAAGTTACTTTTGTGTAAAGAGGAAACGAAGAAAAAGGAAAAAGAAAGAGACAAAAAAAAAAAAGAAAAGAAAAGGGAAAGTTTAAAAGAAGCTAATCGAATCGATGGATGAAGAAGAAAAAAAAAAGATAAAGAAGAAGAAAGAAGAAGAAAGAAAGAAGAAGAAAGAAGAAGACTACCGAACACATCGGTCGATCGTACCATGAGCGGGCGAGTTTGCCTTCGTCACGCAATATAGCGATTCGTCCGAGATCTAAACGAGTTACGATCCTTATCGGCAATAGAAAATACAGGCGGATAGAGATAGCGATCGTTTCGACCTATTATTTCTTAAGTGGAAGAACGCGAAGACGTTCGATCGTATCGCGATCGTAACGTTTCGTCTCGTAAAATCGTATGGAGGAAATGTGAGAAGGAAACTTACGTTCGATACTTTTAACGAGATCTTTCTTTCTTCTTATCCTTTAGGCTTCCCTTCCCCTTCCCTCCCATCTACCATCCGCCACCACTCTCTCTCTCTCTCTCTTTCTCTCTTTCTCTCTCTGTCTCTCTTTCCCCCTTTACTTTCTCTGACACTTTCTTTTCCTTTCATTTTTAAAACGATCGATTTGAAAAAAAAAGCAAGGACATACGATATATATATATATATATATGATTTCAGAAAAGAAAGCTGAGTTCGATTAAGAAACATTCTTTTATAAAAAAAAAAAGAAAAAAAAAAAAGAAAAAAGAAAAAGAAAAAGATTAATCACGTTTAGGTCCTCCACCATTTTCTTTCCCTTTCTCTTTTTCTCTTTAAGAAGTATAAGATGAAGAAGAAGAAAAAGAAAATTCGGAACCTGCAAAGTTATATGTTTTTGAGATAACTCTTTTGAGAAAGAAAGAAAGAAAGAAAGAAAGAAAGAAAGGAGAGAGGGAGGGAGAGAGAGAGAGAGAGAGAAAAAGTTAGACGATAATGGAGTCGTTAGTAACTTCCTTTAACCTTGGAGGTTACCTTAGGAAGTATTTATCACGATTGGAATAAGTGATTCGCCGATGTTCAGCTCCGAACGTTCGAACCTAGCATTTACATATATATATACATACACATAAAATGCAAGCAATAATTTTTGATCATGACCTCGTCCAACCTAGAGATTCACGCATCCTATCAAATCAGTCATCATTATCATCATCATCATCAGGCATCATTTCAGAACGGAGCTAATATGGATGAAATATTCGCGGCAGATCGTTCATTCATCCACATTGTCTTCTCGTTTTCACTCTGATTCATTCACATATTCATTCGTACATTCATTCGTTCGTTCGTTCGTTCATTTTCTCTCTCTCTCTCTCTCTCTCTTTCTCTACAACATTTTCTTCATTGCACTTCATTAGTCCATATCGCGGTTGATCGTCGAAGAACGCGTGAGAAGGACAATGGCCGACATTACGTTCTCTGTTCGACGATTTAATCTATATATATATATATATGTATATATATATATACACATACATATATTTATATACTTCTTGTGTTTGTTGTTATTGTTGTCTCTTTCTTTCTTTTTCTTTTTTTCTTTTTCTTTCTTAAGAACTCTCGGAAGATATATTTCCATCGTCGTCCTAACCCTCATCGTCGTTATCATCATCATCATCATCATCATCATCATCATCATCATCGTCATCATCATCGTCATTATCATCGTCATCATCATCGTCATCGTTGTTATCGTCATCATCATCTTATTATCTCGATGGTCGTCGATTTTGGCTTTCGTTATCTCGTACCCGACGAGATTATCTTCGTCTCATAGCCTTACTTTATGACAACATCATCCCCCTTGTTTTATGACAAAGGGGAGTTACCGATTGATATGTCTGTTTTTTTTTTAATCTTTCACTATTTTCCTCGTCCTATCTTCATATCTTTTCTATTTCTTCTTCTTCTTCTTCTTCTTCTTCTTTTTTTTGTCTTTTTCTTTTCTTTTTGTTTGTTTTTTTGTCCTTTTTTTTTAATCATTTTTTTTTTGTTTTGTTTCTTTTTTTACTCGTTTTTTTTTCTCCTTTTTCTTTCATCAACGTCAACTCGGCTACCTGCCTCATCGTACCAGAATCATTGGTATATGTATATATATATATATATATTTTTTTTTTGTTTTGTTTTGTTTTGTTTTATTTCAACGATTATTTGCTCGATCTCTTTCGATATATATATATTATGTACTCGTTTCTCGACTACCATTCGACTACTTCTTCTTGCTGTTGTTGTTATTGTTGTTGTTATTGTTATTAGTTGTTGGATCAACGACTTGGAGTTCCCATAGGAGTGAGGACGGCTCGTGCGACGTGCGTTAGACGAGGAGCTCCTTCGTAGGTACCAGAAAGTTCTAACGTCGTCCTCATTCGCATTAATGCAATCGTTCCAAGGGTTAAACCAAATACCAAAATGAGGTGGGAATGTAATATTATACCATTCATCCCAAGATCATGATTCCCTCTGGCACTGCTGCAATCCTTCGGTGGCATCTCGAGTTTCGCTGTAACAAAACGAAATTGATTTTGATTAGTATATGATTATGACGACGATAAAAGTGACGTTCGATTAATATTAGAGTAAATGATCGTCTCCTATTATTTCTTTTTTTTTTCTTCCTTTCTTATTTCTTTCCTTTTTTTTTTTTTTTTTTTTCTTTTTTTTTTATCACGTGTTATCAAGAAATTTGTCACGTTAATAATTGACGTATACTGTGAAATTGTCCTGAAATTTATATGATCCTTTTTTTTTTCCTTTCTTTCGTTTTCTTCTCTTTTCCCCACCCCCATTACCCACCCTCTCTCTATCCCTATGAAAATGTCGTTAAATAATATCGTAGAACGAAAATGATTCTTTTCGTGATTCATTTCACCAAGTATATATATGTATATATAGGTATATTATTAATAATTTATATTACCCTCTATATGTATCGTTCTCTAATTATCTAAAAAGTTGAATTATCTTGAAATAAAAAATATATAAACGGTCGGGTTCTCACGTGCGAATCATTTCTTTCGTGCCGACTTCTGTTTAAATAATTTTTATTTAAAACTAGAGAAACGAATGGAGGGAAAAGGAAAGAGAGAGAGAGAGAGAGAGAGAGAGAAGAAACGAAAAAAAAAGAAAGAAAAAGAACAAAGGAAAGAAAAAAAAGAAACAAATTATATATACGATCGCATTTTGAAAGGAATGCGAGGTCGACCTCGATACTTTATCGAACGTAAATAAGCGTTCCGGGCAATTATTATCGGAGCGATTTATCGGCTACCATTTTGAAAATCATCATTATGATCATCATCATCATCATCATCATCATCATCAATTTCTTTTACCTTTATGTCTCTGTCCAACGAATTGTCGGAAATAACTTAAAGTATTCGTGTCTCCAAAGTTATGTCAAGCGGTGGTGTTACGGTTAACACTTAACTTAACCACATTAATCTTCTTTCATATCAGACCAAAAGTCCTAGTAATAACGATTAGTCCTATCGAACTAAGTTATCGAAGAGTCAACGTATTACAAATGTACAGTATATACATATATACATACATACATACATACATACATACATATATATATATGTATATATGTATGTATATAATTTATGATGATTATACGTTTAGAAAATTTTCGTTTATTTTTTTAATACATCGTTCAACAAAATAAAATGATTTTATTTCTCGAGTAAAAAAGAAAGATAGAAATATACAGAAAGAGAGAGACAGATAGAGACAAAGATAATACGATCATAACAGTTTTCTTGTTTAACACGCAAAGGTAATATTTCCCATTGCGTTAGACACGAGTACTTTCTAATATCATCTAGATTAAATCTAATGCGAACTAACGCGTAAAGTGTTCTTGATCTTTCGAGAGGGCGGAAGGAAGAGAAAGGAAGGGTTGAGGAGGGTATGAGGTAGAGAGAGAGAGAGAGAGAGACAGAGAGAGGGAAGGAGGGGAGACGAGGTTATGAGAGAAACGGAGCAGAGTTCGAGGACACGGAGTCACGAGCGTGTAGCCACCCCAGACGTATGCATATGCATGCGAGTAATGTGGAATACTAATGAATGACCTTCCGAGTAATTGCCGTCTGATATTTCACGCCGTCTATATTCACTTTCTTCATTCGTTTAATCGATTAGTAACTTTCTATTATTTCTATTATTTCGATGATCTTTTCTAATCGATCCAATAGAATTTATTTTATTATTAGAAATTATTTCCTAGTAATTTTTGTTTTCCTCAATATGTCACACACACACACACACACACACACACACACACACACACACACACACATATATATATATATATATATTGAAATTTATACGTTACTTATTAATTTGAATTAATTATAATATATGTTATTATAGTTATATTATATTATATTATAATACAAGAATTCAATTGAATAAAATATATGTATATATTGTATATCATTACATATATATATATATATATATATATATATATTTATAATAATAGTGTATATGTTATATGTATATGCACGTATGCATGTATTTGGGTATATTAAAAAAAAAAAAAAAAAAAAAGAAAAAAAAATAGAAATTAACAAATTGACGAGATATAAATCTTGAAACTAATTCAACGCGAGTGACTCGTTAAAATTTAACAGGATTCGTCAAAGACAAGATAGTAAGATCATCTCGTTGATATTAACGATGACACACGTTATTATCATTATTATTTAACACGATGGCATATAGATCCCTTTGAAACCGTTATCTACTTACGTGAAAATTATTAATTACCGTTTACTTTCCCCTTTTTTGGTTGGTCTATGAGAGACAAAAAAAAAGAAAAATAAATAAATAAAAAAGAGAAAAAATAAACCAACGTTGGAGAAGTAACAATATTTTCTTTTTCTCTTTCTTTTTTTTTTTGTTCATATGCTTCTCTATCTCATTAATAATAATCAAATTACGAATGTCGACGTTCTTTCTAGCTTCCGAGCTCGTTTCTATTCCATCGTTATTAATTTTTTATTGTGCTCCGAAATTATGCTTGCGTACGTACTTACATATGTATTGTACATACATACTTCAGTAGTATATATATATATATATATATATATATATATATATATATATTATATGCCGGTGTAATTAAAAAAGAAAAAAAAAAGAAGAAAAACAAAAAGTTTTACTTTTAAAAACATTCATTACTTATGAAAATTGTTTACCATTATTAAATACAATATTATTCTAAATAATTTTCTAACACGAAAAACAAAAAAACAAAAAAGAAAAAAAAAGCAAAAAGAACAAATATTCTTTATAATTTATTTATTATAAAATATTATTATACGTATGTACGTAGTAATATATCACTTGTATAGAATATATTTACTATAAAAAGTAATCTATATGTTTATAATAATTATTAGAAAAATTATACAAATTAAATAAACAAATTATTATATAATATTTATATGATAATTCATTCAAGGAGTGCTTGATTAAGATAAATAATTCGTTTAGATTTTTTTTCTTCTCTCTCTCTCTCTCTCTCTCTCTCTCTCTCTCTTTTCAACTATTCAAAGTATAAAGTCATAAACATGAAAAATTTCTTTAAATATTTGAATATTAAAGTTACCAAGCGTGCATCTTGAAAGTTCGAAAGGAGCTAAGATACATTAAGGTAGCTAGCTTAGATAGATATCAATTTTCAAGCATCATAAAGACGGAGGAATATCCTTGCGATAATAATGCTTAGACGACGAGACATTTTCGAAGGGGTTGACAGAAAAAGAATAAAGAGAAGGAAAAGGAGGAGGGGGAGGAGGGGGAGGAGGGGGAGGAGGAGGAAAAGTAGGAGGAAAAGGAAGAGGAAGAAGAGATAGAGAAGGTGGTAGTAGAAGAGGTGGAGAGAAAGAAGAAGACATTGATAAATCGCACGGAACGGGTAATTTGTAAGGGTGCCATTTAACTCATAGCCGATGGTTGTGAAAGGAACTAAAACGGCGGGAATTGTAAACGTTGACGAAAGAGAACCTTTGTTAAAGATGAGTGAAATGAAAGAAGAGGAAAGGCAAAAGCTCCGTCAAGGGATTTAGACGTTTATTGTTATTCGATAAGATTATACACATATTAGATATTTTGATAATGACGATGAAATGAAATAATTTTAATTCGTCCTTATCGAAAATCATTCTTCCCTTTTTTTCTTTTTTTTCTTTTTATCATTGTAACATTAAATAATACCTATCGTAAGTAAAACCGAAATAAAATTCTATTCTCGTTGTTTGGAAATATAAAAACATTTTCGATTCTTCCCGTAGATCGAATTGATTGTTCCCCACTCGTGACTGAAAAATGTTTTATCGTAAAATGAAAAGGAAAAAAAAAAAAAAAAAAAAAAAAGAAAGAAGAAAAGACACGACACAGCGGATGTAAGAGTTTAAATTGAAAAAATTTATTGGAAATAAATCTATCCATATCAAAATTTTTCTATCGCAAAGGATAATGTATGTATGTTATATAATATATTAAATATATATTACATTATTAAATATTACATATATATATATATATATACATATATATCGTAAATAAAATGTTAAATAATAAATATAGGTTGAAAATGAAAAAATGAAAAAATGGAAAAATGAAAAAATGAAAAAATGAAAAAATGAAAAAGAAAAACAAAAGGAGAAAGAAAGAAAGAAAGAAAGAAAGAAAATAAAAATATCACATTTGACGATACTCAAATAGGAATACATACATACATATATACAATGAGATACAACAATCGGGTTTAATCGAAACATTCCTGGACGGTCGGACGACTCGAATGAAATTAATATTCGTGCGATAAAGGAATAAAAGGGAGGAAAGGTAGTTAGGTATGTAGGTAGGTAGATAGGTAGGTAGGTAGGTAGGTAGGTAGGTAGGTAGGTAGGTAGGTAGGTAGATAGGCAGGAAGGTAATGGTAGGTAGAGATAGGTAGTTAGGTAGTTTCAGGACACAACCAGAGTGGAAAGGAACGAGTAGGCAATTATTTCTACGGACTGACGGACTGTTAAACCGAATGTTATACATATCTATGTACATACACATACATACGTACATATATATATATATATATATACATACGTACATACATATAACGCGAATTGCACGCGACAAACGATTAATTTTAGCTTCGTCAGAGCGGTTAGACGCGCGTGAAATCACGAATTCATCGAGCTGGACGAACGCGATGTGTAAAGGGCTATAACGAGAAGGGATGAACGAGATTTGTGAGGAGTTTAAGGGGCTTGAGGGGTGAATGTGTATTGGTGATGGTAGTAGTGGGCAGGAGGGGGGGGGCAGGGGTGACCGTATTAAAAGGTACGCGAGAGATAAGGGTGATTACACGGGCCCGGGCCACGTCGAAATCACTCGTCGAATTATTATCGACGCGTTGCCGCACGTTTTCCAATCCCCACCCACCCCATCCTACATCCTCCACTCCACCCATTCACCCCACCCCCCCTC